AAAAAAACAATAAACCAGATTTTAAGTCCTCAGACCCACAAAAAAGATATTACGAATTCAGGGTCATTAAACATATATTAGCAATTTTATATATGTTAGTAAATAAATATAACACAGTTGCATCTATACACTCAGTTCCAAAATCAGCCATAATCAGGTGAGCTATACAAACAAAAAGAAAATTGCTAACCTCTTTGCCTAAGCTATGCCCTTCCTTCGAAACATGCTTGGAATTGAGTACAGAGCCTAAAATCTCAAATGCAAATCAACATGCTTCAAGCTTCTTCCACAAATAGAAAGCTCTTCTGATTATTGGGTCAGCTGAGAATCCTTCTGCATAGGCACTAATGGCAGTCAAAAGGCTTGTGAATTTCTCACCATTGTCCTGTACAAATTAAAACACAGTTTTGAGGTTTCTATATTTCAAAATAAAAATAACATGCAAATAATCCTGGACTTTAAGGACATTCATTTTGTTATTCAGTATTCCTTCCATACCAAACAAGCAATATCCAGATGACTAGCTTCATCATGCCAGTTGTAGCCAATCTTTCACCAATAGTAAATTTCATCAAATAACAATGATTTGGCCGTCAGAGCATGCAAATCTTTTAAAATAAAGATCAACTCATTCTACAAACCTCTGGTTTCTTAAATGTGAGATCTGTGGTGGCAAATGGTACCATATAGAATGGAAGATCACATCGCAGCATTGCCTACAATAACAAAAAGTTTCAAGTATCATGATGGAGTTCATAGATCACAATCTGTTCCAACTCCTGTCAAAACACACAGAAGCCGAGGAACTGAATAAGTGTAAATTGCAAGTTTCTAAACAATGACAGCATGTCGAGGATTCAACATTTCTGAACTGAAATGAATCTTTCCAACATGAGTAAAAAAAGTAGAGATTCTAAAAAATTTATAGGGGAAAATAGATAGGTGAATGGAGTTCACCAGGATCAGGAAGAGTGACAATGGCTCATTAAGTAACAAGATGCACTCACACACTATAAAACTAATCAACCTAACCTGCATTCTCACAAGGCTCAACCAAGTGCTTTTCAAATAGACTCAAGCCAAGTCAGATTTCAAATAGGGCTATATGGTTTCAGTTCAAGCTTTGATCTAAAAGCTTTCTAGGCAGAGACAAAATATTAAGCAACTTACTCTTTTCAGCTTTTATCTAAAGCTTATTGCTTTTGTAACCTAAAATGTGCTCAAGGAAACAGACGCATGCTATGCATGAGGAAATATATTGTGTGATCTATTAAGGAAGCTTTTTATGCACCATATGGTCAATAATTTAATTTTTCTTGACAGTGTATGCAGATGATGCCAAGTTTCAACTTGTTATGACTATATCCATCAGATTAACAGCTTCTGAGTAACTTCACTTTTTCTTCAGTCTAAATGTTGGGCTGTAAAAATATTTCCTTTTTGTTCCTCTAAATTTGAGAGAGGAAAGGTCCTCTACCACTTGCTAATTCCCTCATCCTTGGTGAACATATGATTGCATCCTAGGTCTGTCATAGAGACAAAGACATTCACCAACTAATCTCCCTCAATATCATATTCCTTCAAAATAGTACAACCAAGGTAACCCACGAATATCGAAGCCTATGATGGTTTTCTCTCTTTTTCTACATTTTCTGTAAGCCCAAATTATTAGAACAGTGGGAGCACCTCCTCCTCATTAAAAATGCTACGACAGCTTAGTAGCAGTTTCTAGCTCTTAGGAATCCAAGCTGCTAGTGCAGTGGAAGCACTCTCTCATCTACAACATAAGAAAAGATGCATCCACCAGGAGAAATGCCCCCAGACATTCCAGAATGCAGCCTTGATGGTCAGGACTTTGTAATTAAAGTTGCCTAGCCAACATCTCCACCACAAATGATGTGGATGGTACAAGATCTAAGTTGTTTAACAATATTAGACAGGCATTTTCATCATCAAATAAAGGGTCAAATCATCTAGTATGACTGAAAAATGACATGCTCAACATGATAAAGATTTAATTAATGAACATACATTGGTCATTAACATGAATTACGAAAGAAATTTCTTTTCACTTCAAATAGGTATTTTCCACAAGAAGCAAAGGATGAATAGATTACCAGGTTCTTGCTTAATATAGCTTGATCAGCATTTGCTTTCAAGGCCTGCAAAACATAACAGATAACTTTGGACCATCAGTTATTTGCTTAGCACGACAGGAAAAAAAGAGGGAGAGGGGTGGGAGAGAAGAGAGAGAGAGGAGGGGGAGGGGGAGAGGGAATGTAGGATCCTCATTATTTCATGTTAAAATCGAAAATGAATGTAACAAAATTTAAAACAACCAAGCAAGCATGCAGAAAATTTTCACAGAGCTATAATTATATCACCCTGTTTCCTTCCCCCACAAACCAAAAAGAACATCCACATGCCTTAGAACGAATTAAATCTTTTTATATTAAACACTAGAACAGAGTCTATTTGTGAACATAGAATGTATCCTTAAGGTAACAAGGAGATTTTCCTTTGCTGGTAAGATGAACAAATTCACCCGTGCAGTATTGAGTCTTGTTTGTAAATTCAGGGTGTTAGTTTAGGCCCTCACTGAAAATCTAAAAAAAAATTTATAGTCCAGTTAACGTCAAGTCATGAAAAAAAAAAGGAAACTTAAAGCAAAAATTGTTGGCAATAAATTACAAAATGAGACGAGCTGCCACATGGGTTAAAAAGGATGATCAGTTTAGAATATCCATTTTTAGATAATCTTCTCAAATCTTCTCCTTATTATTCTATGTGACAACTGCACATTGAATTAAAGGGATAATTCTTATACCAACCAACTATTCCCACTTAAATCAAACATGACTTTGAAATTAAACAATCATTTCTTGAAACTCCAGCTTTAGGGTATTAATTCGTTCTGAGATGGCTAAAACTTAATATATATGAACCATGATTCCTGAGTGTTGGAGCCGTATATAGGTTCAAACCTAGCAATATATGTCAACATGCTATAAAAAATAATGAATCCTGAATTGATTCAATAAATATAAACCATATGAGGTCTGGTGCAAGTCAACCTATTTATAGGCCAGGTTATGTAATTTCTGGGACTTAGGATGTTCTTGAATATATATCCAAATCAAAACCCAACCAATCAGCTCGTGCCTTATGCAAATGGCCTCAATCTCATTGGTCAGTTCACCTAGATAACTGACCAATGAGATTGTAAACAAAAAGGAAAATTTTAGTAACATGCATCTATTCATGTTGTGTTCATCCTAAGCTGATTCTACCTTCCTGATGTGGTCAACTTCAACTTGATCAACACACTGCAGTAAATTCTCCAATGTGCCTGCATGTGTAATGAAAGATCACAAACCAATATCCAAAAACACAACAGCCTACAAAGGAAAAATAACAAAAGCAGTACCAAAGTAGCGTAGAATAGAGAAGATTACACACAATGCATGAAAATCAGTAACCCTAGGATAAATGTCAATAAGCAACCCAAGGCTAAACCTTTTGGACTTTGCTTACAACATTAATAGTTACAGTAATCCATGATCTCAAATCCCATTCCTCAAATCACATAGCGATACATCTCTAATATATGACGGATATGACAAGGACATTGACATTTTTGTTTATTAAACATTTCATTGACAAGAGCACTTGACTCCATTTGAGATGACAAGCGTCTTGAACCACATTTATCAAGTTTTCACTTGCTACTCAGGCAACTTCTGTTTCTCCTCGCTTTCAATGGAACCAAGTAAAAGCTGATTATATTATAACGAGGGTCATTTTTGAATTGGGCTTATGAAGAGGGTTATTTCTCACAAATTCCTCTTAAATTTATTCTGGCAAGGGGTTATCAGTTGCCACTGATGTCCAGGTCTAGGTCTATAGATAGCACAAGGGCTTGCTGCAAATCATGATGATATTTGCATATGCTAAGGGAGGTGCACAAAATACACAAGAGAGAAAGAGAGGGCACAGACCATTTCTCAGTTGCTTAAGAGTGCGAATACAAACGCATTCAATTGTTTTTGGATATGACAAGCCACTTCGTTAAAACCATGTGAAAGGATTTTCAAAGATAAATCTATAAAAGAAGTCTATATAACAATGAAAATTATTAAGATTACATAGAGGCATGGTATACCCAAAGGAATCTCAACAAAAGACTACTCAAGCATTGCTCAAAACTGCAACCTACAGGATACTTTTCCCAATCTTGAAAATAGTGCCAACTATTGTTGCTTATAATGAAGGGGTAAAATTAATTTGTACTTTATTATAATTCCAGGAGCACTGGCACACTCATAATCTAGCTGACTTCCATTCATCAGAAAAGAGGCCAGAAAAGGAGTTTTAAAACATAAGAAAGGGGTAGATTGTTCCATCTGATAGAATGAAAACAGATGCAGCTTTTCAGTTCTCAACAAAACAACATACCAAAT